AACACAGTGGCTGCAACAAGGGGCTCAAATACGGTAAGGATTGTAAAGATACCACAGGACTGGACAGTATTTCATTCTTTTGTACATAAGGTCACTGTAAGTTAGAACCCACTCAATGGCATCTAACAACAACGTTATCTAAAGTGTTTGGCACAGCTCTTGATTCATTATAACCAGTCAGTAAGTGGCAACTGCTGTAATTATTATTATTTTAAAATGCTAGTCAATCTTGTCCTTAAAAGAACAAAGAAGGTTTACAAGCTATTCTTTCTTCAGGGTTTGAAGCTGGGGGGAGGGCAGGTGCAAAGAGAGGCTCACAGGATAGATCCCCAAGGGTGAGGCAGCCCCGTCCTGGAGGGTGGGAGGTTTCTGAGTTTGGCCAGAGCTGTCCCTGGTGAGTACTAGGAGCCCAACAGGCCTCCAAAGTGCTTCTCCCCCCAAAGCAGGGCTTGCTCGCCCCTCTGCTGGACTCAACTGGGCCCTCAGGAGCTAAGTGGGCCAAGCAGCTGGAAGCCAGGCGGAAAGAAGCATTTTCACCCCAGGAAAGCTCTGTTAGCAGCAAGAAACCCTATTTACAAATAAAGCCTGTTCTTGGCTCCACGGCCCACACAGCCAAGCCCCTTTATTCCATTTCAATATGCCTAATTCTGCGGAAAGTGCATTGGCAATAAACGGAATTAATCAGTCCTGGGTACCAGGGGGAGTGTAGGCAGGTGTTAGCATATCCGAGGGGCCTTGCAGGACAAAGTAAAAACAGTGGCAGAGAATATAAAATGCTTTGCTGCAGTGGGGACTGAAGATGGAAAGGACTTGACGGAGGGCAGGCATTTTATGAGCAAATAAGCCTTTTTGACTGCCTGCAACCCAGCAGCAAAGCAAAGAGGCTGGGAAACTTCTCTGGATAGTCTTCCTCTGCCTTGTTTCAAAATGGAAATTGCTTTACTGTTGCTGTTTTTGTGGTTGTAAAAGTAATACTTGCTCCATTCAGACGCTGTATAAAGATGTAAGGAACTTGCTCCATTCAGACACGGTGTAAGGGTGTGAGGAACAAAGTGAAAGTCACTCATCATCTTACCAAGTTAAGATCATCACTGTGGACGTTTTGGTGTAGGTCTGAGCAGATTTTTTGCTATGCATATTTTTACCTAGACACATAACACAGATGAGATCCTGTTAGGTAAGTGGTTTTGCAGACTGTACGCTCCACTTAATAATATGCTATGGATATCCTTCCCTAGTAGTAACAATGGATCCCCAGCATCATCTTTTCATAGCTGCTGTCTTGATGAATTACTCACCCTGTGTGACCCAGCTCAGTTTGCCACACCAGTCTTACCCGGCACCTTCTCCCCACCTGACTTCCTGCATCAAGTCCTACTGACCTTCATTCGGTTCCTAGGACACTCAGGGCCTCAGCATCTAGCCTGAAATTCTCATTTCCTCTTTCACATACTTTTCTCTCTTCTTTTAAATTTCAACTGAAATGTTTCTTCCTCCAGGAAGCCTACGATATCCAAGACTGCAGCTGCTCAGACCTGTTACTGCAGATACTTCTCCCTCCTGACAACTATCCCAACTATAACTAACTAAACAGTTGTCTCATTTGTTTGTTTTCCTTGTTCCCCACTAGGATATAAGTTCCAGGAGGTCAGAGCCTGTTGGTTATGCTCGGCTCTGAAGCCACAGGGCAAGTCCTCAGCATACTGGCTGATTAAGTGGAAGGAAGGAGCAGCAGCCACAGATGTCCACTTCCTGTAGGTAACAGAAGGGTCTGCCAGTGGGGTACCTGTGTGGCCATCTCTGTGTGGCTACAGGAATCTGCAGGAGAAGGAGAATAGAATCTGCTCCAGGGTCAGGGTACCCTCTGGCCCTATTAGGTTGGGAAAAGACCACAGAAACCATGTGGCCCAACTGCTCAACTGCTCGCTGTCTAAACAGGGACAAGGAGGCCCAGAGAGGGGAGGGGGCACGTCCACTTACACAGAGTGGTCAATGGCAGACCCCTGGGCTTCCATCTCCCCATGCACCAGGCTACCTCAGGCTCTGTCAGGCCTGGGTTCAAATCCTAACTCTGACATTAGAAAGAACATGACCCTGGGCAACTCAGTTTAACTCAATATGACTTGGTTCCTTTGGCTGTAAAACAGGGACGGTAACATGCTCGTTATCATTGGGAGGCAGTGTCATGCAGTGGTTGTGACAGGGACTGAAGAGTGCCCTGTTTTGAGTTCAGATCCCAACTCTAATGAAACTTTCTAGCTGGTGACCTTGGGGAAGTTGCTTCACAGGGCTCCTTAATCTGTCAAATGTATGATGGCGATAAGAACAGTCCTTCCCTGTCACACTGCTGCAAACCTTAGGTAAGATAATCAATGTGAAGCACTTATAACTGCTCAGTAAGAATAACATAGTATTGGTTGACAGACAATGGTTCTACAAGTATATTTGTGTGTTCTATAAGAATTCCCAGGTGTATAGTAGAGCTGACAAGGGACAAGGCTGTAGTCACTTCTTGGTCACACCCAGCTACCCAGAGGGACTGAGTAGTTGAACCTGTGGGCTCGGGACCATATCATAGGGGACATCAAGCTCAATTGGCATAGCATACTACACAAAACATTGTTCCACCTCCTGCTTTGGCAAATAGTGACTGGAATCTTAAACGCTTGCAAGCAGCCATCTAGGTACAACAATGGGTCTCTCCTCATCCAAAGCAAAGAAGAATGAAGAAAACCAAAGACTCATGGAAACAATTAGTCCAAGCAACTAGTATATCATGTGGTCCACAGCCTATACAACTGAGACCAGAAGAACTAGATAGTGCCCAGCTACCACTGTCAACCACTCGGAGGGGGACCTATGTAGGAGATCCTGGATAGAGAGGGAGAACAATGTGGAACAAAACTCAAAATCATTTGGAAAAAAAAAAAAGGGGGACCAGGTTTGCTGGTCTGATAGAGCCTGGTGGAACCACTGAGACTATGGCCCCTAGCTGTCCCTCAGGTCTGGAATTGTGCCCACACCTGTGGCTTCCAGTCAAACAAAAGACAGGCATATGAGGTGAACACTTACCTGAGGTAGACACACTCCTTGGAGAGAACAATCATGGGAGGAAGAAGACTGTTTATGCACAAGGAGACAGGTCAGGGGGCAGGAGTGCATGGAGGGATGGACACAGGGAAGAGGTAACTATCGGGAAGAAATGGGAGGGAAGCTGTTGCATTGGGGTAAATTGTGGTCAATGTCATGAGACAACATGTATGTGAACTGCTGTATGGAGAGTGAATTTGCTCTGTAAACTTTCACCCAAATCACACACACACACAGAGAATAACATGGTATTAAAAGCTACCATTAGTCACAAATCAGAGAGACAGTGAGTTGTTTTTAGGTGCTATTGAGTTGGCTCTGACTCACAGTGACCCTGCCTACAGCAGAACAAAACACCACCGGCCCTGCGCCATCTCACAATCGCTGCTGTGCCTGAGCCCATCGTTGCAGCCACTGTTTCAATCCATCTGGCTGAGGGTCTTCCCCTGATTCACAAGAGAGGGAGTAGATACCCAATAAATGTTAAATGTTGCTATTATCAACTAGTTAGCACCTCATCTTTTCAACAGTCCTGAGGAAGAGATATGTTATTATTATGTGGGAGAAGAGAAGCTCAGACAGTGGCGGGACCCCCCAAGGTCACATAGTGAAGGCAGCAAAGTGGGGATTGGAACCCAATCTCCCAACTCCAAATCCAGAGCTCTTCCCACTATCCCATGTTGCCTGAGAGCGTCACAGGCACAGACCTGTCTGCTATTCAGGTCTTCCCACTCCTCCAATCCATCTGCCCCGATGCTGCTCAAGTGATCTCCTAAACCACTCGGGTCCACTATGACCTTCCTGTCCCCATGTCAGTGCAGCATTCAAGGCCCACTGTGATGAAGACACCATCTCATTCGGTGCTTTGCTCCCCAGCCCTTACATGAGGACTGGTCACCCAAGGTCAGACTCACATGGCTCCTTCAGCCAAAGGCACCCTTTCTTCTCTAGCCCCTTTACCCATCAACTTCTTGCATCCCCAAAGGCTTGACGGAAATGCCACCATGGTGCCCCACTCCACACGGCTGCTACCTTGGCCTCCCTGGCATCCAGATTTAGCCCAAACACACACTGCTCTTTATGTCCTGGCCCCAGTGCTCCTTGTAGGCAGAGACTCTCCCTAACTAACCATCGTCATCACCATCCCCAAGCTCTGAGCAAATTCCCAGCTCTCTCCAGCAGGTTGGTCCAGTGTGACAGTTAAGACCATGGGCTTTGGAATGAAGACTGCCTGGGTTCAAATCCAGCTCTGCCACCCACCACCTGCGTGACCCTGGGTAGGCTGGCTAACCAGCCCTATGCCTCACTTTCCCCAGCTGGAAAACCTGGATAATAACAACCTACTGCACTGGGTAGCATGAGGAGTCAATGCAATGTGTGAACTGAGTTATAAATGCTGGACACACTGTTAGCCCTCTTTAAAACGTGAGCTAATTATATTACTTCAATTATTGCTGCTTGTACCAGACTGAACGCAAGCCCCGAAGCTGCCTGATGCAACTCCAGCCCGAGTCGTGGCTTTCTCTTTTCTTGCCTCACCAAGCCCCACAACCAACCCTGAAGTCAGGGCAATCACAGGCCGCTGGCGGTGTTTCCAGAAGAGCAGCCATGAGAAGCTCAACCTCGCCCACTGCCCAGCACGCTGTAGGAGGCTCCCTGCTCTGGGCACCGCCGGGAGACTGGGGCGGGGGAGGCATGATGCCAAGGCAGGGGGACAGCCCTGCCACTTGCCAGGCAGCCGGGGGAGGGCTCCCCCGCAGGGATCAGTCCTCAAGCTGGGGTGCTGATTGCTCTGGCAGAAGCCTGATTAAAATCAGCATCAAAGACTCCATGCAACGGTCTCGCCACCCTTAACCTCACAGTGCAGGCCCAACGACCCATCCCTCCCATGGGAGTCGGGCGTCTCTCACCTTGAGCCCGCTGCTTTCTGCTTCCGAGCCTGGGTCCACGCCAGTGATGTAGATGCCCAGACCATACTCCGCTCCCCCACGGATGGTGAGGCCCAGGGATCGGCCGTCCCCGAGCACCAGGTTTACCTGCAGAAGGAGGGAGACAGCATTAGAGGGTCTGGAGGGCACCAGGGCATCGGCCCCAGGGTAGCAGGCCAGAGGCCTTCCGTACCTTAAAGGGAACACAGATTCAGGCGCATAAGGAAGCCCAGGAAAGGGCCCAGAAGATCCCCAGAATTTCTCTGTTTCTGCCCCAGTTGTGCCTCAGACTTGCTGAGTGACCTTAGCGATGGCCCCTTCCTGATCGTCACAGTTGCAATTGCAGTGAACGGATTCTGGAGGACACGACCCCTAAGGCTGCCCCAGTGCTGAGAGTCCAGGGGGTTTTGACATTCATGGTTTTTAAATGTTCTTCAAACCACAGGGCGCAGGCTCGCTCAGCCTTCACCGGCCACTGTGTACCTTATGCTTCATCAAGGAATGCTTGGCTCCCTTACCTTCCACCTTCCCTCCTTCGAATCAAGGCTATGTCCAGGCTTGGGCTGCCACCACCCTGCTACCCCGCAGCCTCCTACTCGGCAGGACTCTGCATCCTGATGAAGCACAGCCCTGGGCTCTGCAAGCACAGGGTGTACCCACTAAGTGCAGACCCCGCGCTGGGCCAGGGGACTCACAATGGCCCAGACACAGTCCTGTCCACAAGGGTCCACAGTCTTGTGGGGCAGAGAGTAGTGACCAGATCTTCATAGCACAGTGAGGTCACAACTATGATGGGTGGCCCGGGGCAATGATCCTGATAGGGGCAGGAGGGATGTTCAGGAAGGGCTTCCTAGAGAAAGTGATGTCTCAGATGAGATGGGAGTTAGCCAGGCAGGGGTGGGGGTGGCGAGGGAGGTGAGGGAGCATTCCAGGTGGATGGGAAAGCACATATCACTGGGTTGGAGAGAGTGCCTTGAACCACAACATGGAGGTGAGTCACTAAGGCCAGGGTGTGGAGTGTTGGGCGCAGGGGCAAGGTTAGGGTTGGGGACAGATTCTGGAAGGCCTCATAACCTACAAATGACCCACAGGTTAAGTGTGCTGTAGGTATGCAGGGGGAATTTATGGAAAAGAACAGGGGCCAGAAGATACAAACTTACCCCCAGGACTGAAAACATCCTAAAACAAGCCCGAACAGCATATCTCACTGCTACCAAGTTGGTTCCAACTCATAGTGACCCCTCCTTGGGTTTTCGAGGCAGTATCTCTACAGAAGTAGATTCCTTCTGAAGAGTGGCTGGTGGATTGAACTGCCAGCCTTCTGGTTAGCAGTGAAATGCCTTAGGCACTATGCCTCCACAGCTCCTTAATAGCATATGTTGTTGTTATATGCCTTCGAGTCAGACCCAACTCATAGCAACCCCTCCTTGGGCTTCAGAGGTGGTATCACTACGGAAGTAGATTGCCCAACCTTCCTTCTGAGAAGTGGCTAGTGGGTTTGGACCGCCATACTTCTGGTTAGCAGTCAAGTGCCTTAGGCACTACCCAACCATATAAGGGACTCAAAGAGAGCACAGTGTGGCTGCTCAAGGAGAAGGGACGGTAGGTGCCTGCAGCCATCAGGGGAAGGCAAACTTCACAGCATTAGATAAGGCCATCCAACCAGTTTTCTACTTCTGCAGAGTCAGTCATCTAAGAAGGAGCCCTGGAGTATAAACAGGTAAGCTGCTAACTAAAAGGCTAGCAGTTCAAAGCCTCCCAAAGGCTCTATAGGAAAAAGACCTGGCAATGTGTTTATGTAGAGATCATATCCAAGAAAACCCAAGGGGGCAGCTCTACTCTGTCACACGAGTTGGAAGAGTTGAAAACAGCTTGAAGGCACCCAGTAAGAAGTTACTTAGCCTCTCTGGGACTCAGCCTCATCTACAGCATGAGGAATGTGTGCTTGCTAAGGCTTCTGTGAAGAAGGTCAGAGTGAGAACACATGTGAACATACAGGGCAGTCCATGGCCCACAGCAAACACTCGACAAACAACAGTCATGTCAGTTCCACTTCGCACATCAGGGAACTGACGCATTCAGAAACCCAACAAGGCTACCCAGCTGAGGCCGACTCATGACCATGCCGGGGCTCCTCTGCTGGGCTTCTCTGCCTCTTGAGAGCAAAAAGTGGTGGTTTTGTCCCTGTTGGCTAGCTGACTGATGTCAAGAAGAGCCCAATAGACAGAGTGACTCTACAGGGTTTGATTCTAAGGCTGGGCACTCTGAGGTATGTCAGGATGGGGCAGCGCCAGGGAAGGGCTGTTCAGTAGGGTGCCTCAAGCCCTGTTAGCACCAGGCCAGCTCTGATTTACTCCTTAGGCAGGACAGCACCCATGGGGCCCTGAGCAGTCACCCAGAAGAGTGACAGAGATGGATGTTCTCCTGGAAACTGCACTCTGTGGATACTTCAGCACAGACTTAGGAACCACCACCCAGTCCCCGTGATCTGTCCCCTAGCCCCGATGGAGTCCTAGCTCCAAGGCTTGGATAGGTTTGGAGATGACGTGGGTTCAAGCCCCACCCTGGTTCCTCATGTCTGTGTATTTAGGTGACGTGACACAGCGTGGAGGTTATCTGCACCAATGCTGGAGCCACACTGTCAAGTTCGAATCCGTGCTAAGTGTGTGACTGCCCCTGGGCAAATTACTTCACTTCCTTGTGCCTCAGTTTCCTCCTCTATAAAGCAGAGGAGAAGATTATACCCACTTTCTTAAACTGTTATAAGGAATGAATGGGTCCATGCATGTGGAGCACAGAACAGTGCCTGGCCAAGCAGAATCACTCAGAAGATATAGGCTATGGCTACCACTGTCAACTACTCAGGAGGGACCGGCACAGGAGATCCCGGAGAGAGGGAGAACAATATAGAACAAAACTCAAAATCATGAAAAAAAAGAGGATCAGATTTGCTAGTCTGATAGAGCCTGGTGAGACCCCTGAGACCATGGCCCCTAGTTATCCTTCAGGTCTGGAACTGAACTCATTCCTATGGCTTCCAGCCAAACAAGAGACAGGCAATATGGGGTAAATATTTACATTAGGTAGATACACTCCTTGGAGTGACCACAGCGATCAGTCATGGGAGAACAGAAGGGCAGTGTTTGGACAGGGAGATAGCTCAGGGGGCAGGATTGCCGGGGAGGGAAGGACACAGGGAAGAGGTAACTATAGGGAAGAAGTGGGAAGAGAGCTGTTACACTGTGAGGAATTGTAGTCAATGTCATGAAACAAAATATGTATGAACTGCTACATGGAAAATGAATTTGCTCTGTTAACTTCCACTCAAATCACAATAAAAATTAAAAAAAGAAAATGTGAGCTACATTATTATCTTTACCATCACCATCTTGGGTGAGACTTTGAGAGCAAAAGTTGGTTCCAGCTCACAGCTTCTGCAGATGCACCCTGGAAAAAATGACAAGGCCTTCCTCACAGGGAAGATGTGAGCTGCTTTATAGGCAGGGATAGGCCGGGCAGATTTAAGGCATCCAAACATGTGCCAAGCCCTGATCTGTGCCAGCCTCTGTGCTGGGCACACATTCACAGCAGAATCTGACTGGGTCCCTACCCCCGAGACTCTCAGTGACATCCCTGAGAAGAAAACCTGGACCTGCTTGTGCCACTGGGAAGGTATAACGAATCCCCCCTCTTCAACGCCAGGGCACTCGATACCCCAGAGCTGCAAGTGCTGGCTGCTGGTGGCTTATAGCTGAGTCCTTTCTAGGCACTGCCCTGGCCTGAAAGGAGCTGCTTCACCCAGGTCCACAGCCCTCCACAGGAGTAGCTGGCACCCAATGACTAGCTGATTGGGGGGTGGGGGGAAGGACCATGACCTTTGCCTTAATTTAGGACAATGTCAGACCATGCAAGCCCCCAAGCTCCTGTGGAGTCAGCTGAGACCTGCTGCATCACAGCCCAACTCCTCCTCCGGCCCAGCTCAGTAACCCTCACTCCTTAACCAGTGTTGACCCCAAAGGCAGTGTACGGCTGCTGTAACAAATTACCACAAGCTTAGTGGTTTCAAGTCCTGGAGGCCAGAAGTCTAGAAAAAGTACCTAGAACTGCATTCTTTCTGGAGGCTCTAGAAGAATCCATGTCCCTGCTTTTCCAGATCCCACAGGCTGCCTGCGTTCCTCAGCTCGTGGTCCCTGCCTTTATCTTCAAAGCCAGCAGTGTAGAACCTTCCACTCCATCTCTCTCTTTCTGCTTCCATCAGCACAGCTCCTTTTTCTGATTCTGCCCTCTTGCCTTCCTTATAAGGACCCTTGTGATCACACTGGGCCCACCTGGATAAGCCAGGAAAATCTCCCATCTTAAGAGCTTTGACTTCATCACATCTGCAAAACCCCATTTGCCAGGTAAAGTAACATCCTCATGGACTTTGGCGATGAGGATGTGGACATCTTTGGGAGTGCAGGGGGATTCTGTCTCCCATAAACTTTGTTCAGGCCATTGTTGGACTCAGGGTCCATTCCTGAGAGCCTGATCTCAGGCTGAGCTTCCCAGAGAAATGGCCGCTGAGCCCTGAGGCTGAGGGGAAGCCAGGGAAGGTAAGTGCTCCAGGGGCAAGTTCACAGACAAAAGCCCAGAAACGGCAGAACAAGGCCTTCTGGAGAGACCACGAGGGTTCATCACAGCTGGAGTATGGCGGGAGGAGAGAAAGGGAGCAGCTGTCTACAAGCCAGGCCACCGGTGTGGCTTTTCAGCTGGAGGGTGACAGGCTCAGATTGGCATTTTACAAAGACTATTGGGAAGATGGGACAGGAGAGGGAGTAACCTAACCTCTGGAGAGAGATAGGCACCCCCAACCCCAAACCAAACCCACTGCCATCAAGTTGGTTCCAGCTCACAGCAATCCCCCAGGGTTTCCAAGGCTGCAAATCTTTTCTTTTTATTGTGATTTGGGTGAAAGTTTACAGGGCAAATTCATCTTCCACACAACAGCTCACATGTACTTTGTCTCATGACGTTGACTCCAATTTCCCACAATGCAACAGCTCCCCTTCTACTTCCTCCCCATAGTTACCTATTCCCTGTGTCCTTCCCTCCCCTGCACTCCTGCTCGC